TATTATTAAATATAAAATTACATATCTCTTGGAATATTTTTTCTATTCATATAATTAATAAAAATATAAAATATTTTAATAATTTTTTTTTTATAAATTTCATATAATTTAGTTATATTTCAGTGGAAAAAAAAGATGCATTTAAATTAAAAGCCTAAATCAACTATTTTATCACAAAATCTTTGACTTAAATAATCATTTCAAACTTATTTTTTTGTCAATATTTTTAGTTAGATATGTCAAGCATAACTTATAAATAAATAATGATTTTGATTAGTCCTATTAATATTACTTAGATTTTTTATTTGTTAATATGTCTTTTTTCAAATTTATGTATAATGGAGTATTTATATTCATTCACTCCTAATATTTTCAATTTCTCTTAAAAAGATTTTAAAAATCAGTCAAAAGATTTAAAATTTAAAATTAAGTCTATTATATGAATATATAATAATTTTAAAGCCATTCATATTTGGGTAGTATTACTCTAAAATTACTTATTTATAGTTTTGTTGTAAATTATTCATCCTGATATTACAAAATAATGTGATAGAATCTTTTAGGCTTAAATGTTAAAATAAATATGATCCGATGTTCCTACCAATAGAATATGTGTTAGAGTTATTTATATTAGTCTATATAAATAAATTTAGAATATGTAAAGTATGGCAAATTTAAAAATTACATTTTTATTGATACGACAAAAATATAATACAGAGTTAGAGAAACAATTCTTTTTAATAACATTAGAATTAAATAAACACAAAATTTTAATCTCTCTCTTAAGAAGATGTAATATATTTTCCTGCTATATTTCAATATAATTTCTATTTTATAATATTATAATTAAATATATAAAATATTCATAAAAGACCAAAGACTCATCATATATTAAAACATTTTTTAGATAAATTTGGAAATATTTAGTTAAAAGAGTTAAAAAGTTATAGATCCCTGAGCATGTAGTTAAATTTAGAAGAAAATTAATCTTTAAAAAATTATTTTTTAATCAAAGATGAATCTATGCAATCATATTATTATAAGCCTATAAAATAAATTTTTGAAAAAAAGAGCAATATACCTAATATCATATATCACCCATAATGATATTATTTTAACTTCAAAATAGATTTTATTCCTACGATATATGATCTACTTGTATAATATTATATAAGAATTACAAATTTACTTAATTTTTCTATCGCTATATCTATTTATTTTATTTAAAAATAATAAAGTTGAAAAAATACATAGTGTTAGTAAGTTTAAACTAGATCCAGTACTAATAAAAATATAATAGCCTTTAGCACTACATAATTAGACTTGAACCCTCAAATTAAAAAAAAAGCAAATCTATAAAATAATATTTATTGAACTAATAATATTTCCGAAAAATATTGAGTTAAAAATTTCTTTAAACATAATAGTCTAATAAAAAATTTTTGAAATTTAGGAAAAAGACAGAAAAATAGCAAAATCAAAAATTCTTATATAGTAATTTTCTACTCTCTACATCTACTACATTTAAATATAAAGAAAGTATCTTAATAAACCAATATATATGGTTAATTCTGTCTTGATTTTGTGATTAAAATAATCTGTGGTTGTTATAATTAATGTAAATTGATTATATTATATTTGAATAATTTTTTATAGTATGCAAATTTTAATTGTTAAAGTTAGTGAAATTGAAAATTTAAAAAAAATGAGAAAAAGAAATATATTTTTGACATTTAATGCATTTATGATATTATTATAAAAGCTTTCCTCTATCGATAATTAAATATAATTTTTGTAATAAAATTTTATTAGATTTGATTTTCTGTTTGAATAAAGGTTAATTAAATTAAATAAGCCTTGTTTATACTTTATTGCTACCATTTCTTATTGTAACAAATGACATGATAAATAAAAAAATAAAATGATTTTCAACCCAACAAGCTCAGATTTTTCTAAAATTTATTTAAGAATTTGTATATAATAAAATTAAAACAGATAAATACTCCAAACAGCGGCTATAGGTCTTTAAATGCCCCGAAAATATTCTCCTTAATTTTAGATATCTTCGGATATAATTAAGCTGGAAGGATCATTTAAATTTCTTTATATAACATTGACTTTAATGTTAAATAATATACATTATTGTTAAAAATTGTCATAAACTCGAAATAGAAACCAAAGGAGAATAAAACAATTGGGATTTTTTTTTCACTTAAATTTTTTTTATTTATAAATATAGGAATATGTAATAACTGTGCAAGATTTTAAGTTAGGCCGCTAGTTTAGAAGATATGAGATTTATTCAATATTACATAATTATTTAAAAAAGGAGTTATTTAAGATCTGAAAAGTAATGAATTAAATTTCATCCCTTATAAAAATAACAATAAAATACAAATTAATTTTTGATTATATTTTATTGAAGGCAAAATCATATTTTATAACAAATCTTAATTTTTAAATATTGTAAATTCAATAATTTTAACAATATGTATGATTAAATCAATATTTTTCCTAGACACAAAATTTAAAATATTTTATTCAAGAATGTGTTTATTTAGAACAAGATAAATTTTCATATTCAACATCCATATTGCGATTTAACTCCAGAAATTGCTGCTAGCTTTAGTAATTTTTAAATGTCATTCCATTTTGATCCCCAACATTAAGTGAATGATGGTTTATATTATGTCGTTTTAAAAATATTATTGAGTTACTAACATCTTCAGAAAAAATATACATTTTTGAGAAATTTTGTTATTTTGATTTTATAAAATAAAACATTTTGGCCTTAAATAAATTTAAAAAATTTGATCATAAATCTAAAAATTTATTTAATTTCATATTAATATGAGTTTTCTCAAAAAATAGAATAATTCCTTTAGATTGCATACGAGTCCAATTAGCAATTCTTTACTTTAAACTTATTAACATAAAAATTTTTTTTATCTTGCATTATACGATTGTTTTAAAAATAAGGGAGACCAGGGCTAGTCGGCGCATGAGGCTTGTGGGTTCAAGGATTTTATTTAAAAACCATGACATGTTTTGAAATTTAAATGTAAAATATATTATACTCACCTATTTAAATTTTTTTTATGATAAAATTGTATTTTAGGTAAAATAATCAATTAGTGTTGTTAAACGTCTCGTTTTGAGCCGATTTTTCAAAACGGCTAACTCAATATTTTAGCCAGAAAAATATTGCTTAAGCCTCGAGATTTTGATAATATATGTCTAAACCTTTGCTCCTTCTATGAGCAAAATCTTCAGGCTTGCGTAATATTTTTCTGCATAAAATATTGAGTTAGCCGTTTTTAAAAATCGGCTCAAAACGAGCTGTTTAACAACACTAATCAAAATGTTTTTACACCAAATATAAGGTGGCATTAAAATATGAAGAGCTTAAAAATAATAAAATTGGCATTATATAAAATTCTAAAATCTCTTTTCGCATTTCATAAAGTTTCATAATCATATATCATGTTTAAATATATTTATATTATTATTTTTAATAAGTTCAAAGTAATTTGCAAATTTGGGGAAAGGTAGTTCTAGAATAAAATTTTCTAGTAAATTTTCTTGGTTAAATAATGACTTAAAATATATAAGGAAAATTGTATATTTACCGATTTCTTTCATCGCTTCATCTGTTTATTATAACAAATAAGAAAATATTTTAAATATAAGTTTCATTAATAAAATCTAATTGACTAACTCCATAATTATTCACAAATGATTGACATTAGTTGGATTGATTTTTTATATTGAATCCATGGGAATTAAAAATTTATCCACTTTAAATCACTTGTTTTCTATTTGACCGAAATATAATTCAACTTCTATAGATTACCCACGACATAAAAAATATGTTCAATTTTAGAACAAATCTTAATAAATATAAATTTTTTTGAATACAATTTTTATAGTAATCAGAATAAATCCAAAAAATTTTATGAAGAAATATATCTCATGCTGAAATACATCTCTAATCAAATCAGTTTTCCAAAATATGAATGTGCCATATAAATTCATTTAAAAGAGTGTCTCCGAATCTTTAAATAGCTCATATCTCAGATAGGACATATAATATTTAAACTAAAATTTGTAAAACATAAAATTATGATATAAAAATCAAACTTTAAATTATAAGTGTTTCTGTGTTTGTTAGCATTCATCCTCAAGTACCTATATTACTAGATATGTTTCTATTATTTCATTTATTATATATATTTTAAAGGGGAGATTGGGGTTAGTCGAACAAATTTTTACAAAATTGGCTAGAGCTCCTGATTTTTGTAGGAGCTACATGAATGGATACTTAAAAATACTCTTAGTGCCTTATATAAACTTTTAAGAATTTAATTATTTTTTTTACATTTTTTGTAAAAGTGAAAATTTTGTCCATTGTAATGCATTTTTATTTATTAAAATGTTTCATATAGAATAATTTTATTGTTTTATTATTCAAAATATCATAATACTTATTAGCTAATTATATATAAAAATTGAAACTTAATTAAAAAATACAGATCTTAAGGAGAGAATATGATTTCTTAGCATAAATCAGATATACAAATTATAGAAGAGTATTTACTCTTCTAAAAAATTTACATATAAATGATTAAATATTTTAATAAAAATTAAAATTCTATCTTGTTCTTTTGAAAATTTGATCAAAATTTTATTTCTAATTAACTTTTTCCAAAAATTTTTTGTCTTTAGATAACTAAATTATATTATGATAACCTTCTGGTTATTTAATTAAAATAAGATTTAAAGTTGGTTTGCCAAGCCCAGGGTTTAACCAGTCTACTCTACCTTTTAGAACGAATTCACTTTCCATAATCCACAATGTTTTATGAAGGATTTTCTAAATTTTTTGTTGGAAAGTAATATCTTCTCGTATTAATATTTACAAAGTTTATAAACTTTGGATATTCCCTTAAAAGGAGAACTTTTATTTTTAAAAAAAAATATTTTTTTTATTACAAATTTACTTGTATTTGTAGACACATCCCCTGTTAAATAGAATAATATAATTAAGAAAGCTTATATTAGTATAAAATTTTTTTAAATAAATTAATCAATCAATAAAAATTTATTTAATTGAGGTGCCACATATTACTTTTATTGTAAAGTAAAAAATAAACTAGGCTGATTATTTAATTACATTTTCTAACATTAGGATGAATTTATAGTAAAAGCGTGAAAACGCGATCGCCACTCCAAACAAGTATTAGGTCCATAAATTAAATAAACATATGATGATAAAGATATAGAAAATGTTATTTTATTCACGCCAATATATGAAGCATAATTTATTATATTCAACACCTGTTTATTGAGCAGTATCATTTTTATTTTGGCTAATACAAGATTAACGATTCCTTCATAAAGATAAATCTGTCATATATATGCCAAGTTTTTATGAATTTAAATATTTATTTATGCAATACAAAAATGGCACTTTACAGCAGATTTTGCATAGATCTACTTTTAAATAAATAAATCATCAATTTAATTAATATACAGGCTTCTATCTAGGTAACATCTGTTGAGAGGAAGCTAAAAGTTTATCTATGGGGCAATATATATTACATTATAATTTATTAGTGGCATAACAAGATAGTCAAATAGATTAGTGACATATCTGTGCTTGACATTTTTTGAAGGAACAAATTAATGATTGTTCCATCATAATAAAATTAACATGGTAAATTTTTTTTAAAAAAGGAATATAACAAACTAGACAAGTTTTTTGCAAAATAATTTAATTTATTTAAAAAATATAAATTAAATCAAATACTGAAGATCAAAACCGGTATTCATAAAACATAAACTAGTTGTTTTTAAAATTTAAGCATTTATATTATCAATTTAGTAATTTAAATTAAAATAAATAAAAAAGTATTTTTTTCATGGGGGATGGGATAGGCAAAACTTATTCATATCAATTTAAGAAAATAATTGAAAGGTAATTCATAATACTAATTAATAAAATTAATATGAGCAATTTATAAATTTAAAATGCAAATGAAGCAAATTTTACTCTTTCAGATTTTATTTTTTTGCTAAAAGCCTATTTGGATTTTTTTTTATTAGTTTATTAAAAAAAATAATTCAAAGTTATAACTAAAAATTATCAAAATATGGAGTATAGAAGGTAATTTATGTTTTATTCTAATTTTTTCCTTCAAATAATTATTAAAAATGATTATAAATCATAATAATATTTAATTGCTTTCCATATATTCTCTATTACCTCTTAGCATAATCCCGCATTTAATATCCTTTTTAGTGTCATCTAGATTTAGAAAAATTAGTTTGAACTAATTCTTGGCCTAAATTCGACCTTCGCATTTTTTAACACTGTTAAATACTTTGATTAATGACGCAAAATTGCACCATTTGAGCCAATTTTTTGGACATCTATAAGCAAAATTCTGAGGCTTAGACAAAGATTTATCTTAAAATATCTATGTATTTTATTTTTATTATCCTTAAGAACTAAATTAACAAAATTGATATTATAAATACTTCAAAATTTTATTTTAATCAAAGTGGTGGCATTTGGACTATTTCTATGAGGTTAGAACTAGCCTTTTTCCTCGTATTTTAACAAGGAAAAAATGCAAAATTAAAAAATGTTATTAATAAGAAAAACAATTGTTACGCAAAAAATTTATTAATTATAAGCTTTCTATTTAGTCATAAATTTAAAATAATTGTTATATATTAAAAATAAATGATATTGATTTAGGCCATATAATTATTATATAAAGGGCGATAACTCTTAACCCAGTATTTGTCCAACTATTGGGTATTATACCTAAAATAATGAGAACATTGTACCATAAAATTTGATGGGAATTTGTAGTTTTTGGATGGAATAATATTACAAATAATTAAATATTTTTATTACATTTATTTTTCTGATCATGATTTTTTTTGGTCTTTAAAATATTATATAATGTTTTTTTTATCATAGAAAATATTAATAATATGCAAAATTAACATGGTAAAAAAAATCTTCCATTATCTATTTTCGTTATAAGCTAACTTTAACTATATTAAAGTCTATATGATAATAAAGGACTTATCGCGAATATTTATATTATAAATAAATTATGATTTTAGATATTTTATATTTTGAGATATTTGAGCGTTATTTGTATTTCCCGAATTTGAAATTAAAATTTCATCATCATAGAAATTTAAAAAAAAAAATCAGATGGGATCGGGTTGAATCTTTAGTTGTTCTGATATAAAATTGAATATATATTAAATTTTAGGATATTGTGATCACATTTTAGTTAAATAATAATTAATTATTTAAAATATTTATAATTTTTCCAATTCTATATTATTATATATTTAATATTCCCAAATTATTTTAAATTAATTATATTTTATTTTTTACTTATATTACAATGTTAATTTAATTTATCATAAATTTTAGTTACTTAACCTTTATTATTATTTTCATTATTATTTGTTATTCAATTTTAGTTCCATGTTAAATTAACTAAAGATTTAATTGGAACCCCTTTGATTTTTTTTAATGTGTGATGATAATATATGCTAGCATGGTTAAACTGCTCAATTTCCAATTTTTAATAATAAAAAATCTTGCCAAAATAATGTTCAAATTCATCAATCATTTTTTGACAAAATATCAAAGTTTGGGTAGTTATTTTAGGGAAAAATCTACTTAAACTATTTTAAAATTGATTAAAAGTCTCGCATTTCTGATAAATATCAAGGTCAGGAGCCTGAATTTAATGGTACTAAGAAAATATATAGCTAACCTTATCTTCAATTTGAATAAAAAAGTCAATCAAAAATTTCCTTTATCACTAATGTTAATTTTTCTAAAAAATGTTTGGCGTTTAAGACAACTTTTAAAAAACTCGTTCTCATTAATGGAAATTATTTTAAAATATGTATATTTATTAGAATTATTTAAATTCGTTTTAATTTCTTTCTCAAATATTGTTATAGGATAAACTTTAAATTTAAACATTCAGATTTAATATTTAAATATGCATATCTAGTTTATTTTATTGTGTTAATTTAAATTACTTCACGCATGTATTGGAATATATATTATAAAATAGTAGAATATTAGTTTATCGATTAAGAATTTATAATTAAAACCCTTGATCAATGTTTCTAATTGGGTAAATATAAAGCAAAGTAAAAATAAAAATTTTATTTATCTGAAACAAATAATTTTCTAAAACAGTTAGATTTATATGATAGGGTATATTTAAAAAAGTATAAATAAATTTAATGTACCTAATTTTTTAAATGTTTGTAAAACTAAATAATATAATAATTAATAAGCCCTAATTATTAGGTTTTATTATATTTCGATTCATGTAATACTCTTTTTGGTCAAATTTATAAGATAAAATCCCCTTTCTCACTCTACATTAGAGAGACTTTTTAAACTTTGGATTAGGCATACCAATGATTTATTTTTTTAAAAATATCAATCAAAAATTTATTAAAAATAATTCGCAATTTTTATTTATTTTTAATCCTTCTCAATATTTAGGCTCACTCCTATCAGTCGATAAAAATACGGTTTAAAACTTTCAAAAAATCCAATTTAAATTTTTAAAGATATATGATTAAAATATTAATTTGTCGATAATATTTATTAGAATATGGGCAGGGAGCTCCGCCGGGCACTTGGATTTGACATTTCCAAAATAAAGTAACTTTGAACTCTAACATATTTATATTAATATGCATTTTCCAACCAGTAACGTTTTTGTATTTATTTTAGTTTTAATATTTTTTTGAAAAATATTTTTTATCCTTCCATTCCCTAATATTCATAATAATTGTAAAAATGAAAAAAATCAAAATTCTTATTTTAGTTTGATAAAATATAAATATAGAAAAATAGAACCTTTTTCATAATCGTTCCCAACTATAAAAAGAAATATATTTTTGATTTTATATATTTTTTTAATTATAACAATAATAAAAAAAAGATATTTAACACTTATTGCAAAAAGGTTTGACCCTCCAATTACCAAATTCGAGGTTTGGCTAATTTAATTTAATCTTTTTTTTAAAAGCACCTAAATCGAAGTATTTGACTACACTATTTTTTATTATTGTCATAAACAAATAATATGTTTTCCAGAAAAAGTAAATTTAAATAGTTCCTTTATGACAAAATTCTAAAATGATGAATTCTAATTCCTTTTATGAATCTTGCCTCATACATGTTTTATAATGCAGAAAGTAAATTTTTCAAGCTGATAAGTTTTATATATAACTAAATTAATAAAAATTGCTACCCTGATTTATATTTTTAAGAAAATAGAGAATATATAAATTATTTCTATCATATTTAATTTATATATAATATATTAATTATTAAAAAGAAAAGGTATTCGATTATTTAAAAAAAATAAACCATAGAAGTAAAATCTTATTTATTCAATGGTAAAAATAACAATTTTAATTGAACATTTTCTAATTACTTTTTTTTTCAAGCAACACACATGTTATATAGTATAAAATAGGTAGAAATCACTAGAAAGAAATAAATGAATACAATTTGATTTATAAGCCAAACACTTTCAAGATTGTATTTAACGGTATCATTATGAATCATTGTAAAAAATTTCCATATATACTTTTAATTATATCAAAAAATTTGTTTAACTTGGCATAATTGTTCATTTTAAAAAAAATTCTTTTTTAATATTTATTATATTTTTGTCAGAGATAATTATAAAAGAAATTTGCTAAAAACATTTAAAAATGTTTTACAAAAAATAACTATTTATAATTCCTTATAATATGTGTATGTATAGTTAGACTGTGCGACCAAACTATTGGGGTCGGTACAATTTTTATAATTCTTATCAGTAGCCGATGATGCGCATTATTGTTACCATCATAAAAGATGGCGTAAATTGGCGACCTGCCATAAAATTTTTATAATATTCTTTAATAAGTAACTAATTAAATTTTTTAAAATATTTAAATTAAGAATAAAATATCGCAATAGATGTATCGGAATATTTTAAGATCTTTATTAAATTAAAAAATTAATTATGAATTTAAAGTCAATTTTGAAATTTTTTGATTATCATGTATAAAATCAATATATTTAAATCTTCATCTCCTTGAATTTAACGTCA